TGTCCCACTCTCTAACCGATTAGATTTCAAAATAATTACCTGCACTGTGTCACCTTTTCGCGACTCAAAGCACTCGAAACGACTCAGTCAGCAGTATCGTCTTGTGAATGTAAGAACCTCACGGTCTCGCTCGCGTCAACAACGATAGTGCGGAATATAACTTGTTCGATTTTTTTTTTTTATTCGTGACACCCTACAAAATGTCAAATCTTGAGGAATATTTCACAAGGGACGACAGTGAAATAGAATATAGTGAATCGCTATCGTCGGACATTGAATCAGAAGATTAATTATTTAACCTTCTGCAAAAGAATCACTATGATTTATTACTGTTTGCGCCTTGAACCGTTTCGGCCAGAAGTATTCAGAGCTCAAAAGGTTAAGGGAACGCTGGCAATGATAACTAACGCGCAGACCCAGGGATCATCCTTGGGAATACTGACCTTAGATATTTTCAGAATGTCCTCAGGATTAATGTGCCCCTTTGTAAATTTGAGCGGTTAATAACATCGCTATTGTAATATAACGAAAACTTTGAATATCTTGTTAGAAATTAGTGGAAAATTTTCGGGGTCCACCGGGATTCGAATGCTGGCTGTTCGACCAGCGCTCGAGTATTCTGCTCGCTGCTCTAACAAGACTCTTATTACCAAATACAGTAATTTTTCCCAGAAATGTTCGGAATTGAAACCGGCAGATCCGAGAATACTAAGTTTCATAGAAACTCGAGGCAGTCGACAAGAAAAAGCAGCGACCAGCGTACACTAATATGAGACTAATGCTAGAATAAAAACAATGACTTAACGTTTTTATTTCTGACTTTTTGCCACGATTCAAAGGCAATTCTGAGACAGACAGGGACAAGCAGACCATTTTGTATCATCTCCCAGGATGCAGCAATAAATTACACAGGCGTAGGACCAGCGCAGGGAAATTCACAGCAACCCGAAATTCGGCATTTCCGGGAGAAATTATTGTACCATGTTTCCCGCGCATCTTCGATCAGATTGCTCTGCCATTTTGGGCCAAAACTATCAATGGCATTGCTTCATTAATTGAACAGCCCTTATTCGTCGAGAAACTATGCAATATTTCTTCGAGATCGCGATATTCATTCGTGGCCAACGTATCTCTGTTACGCGGGTTACAGAATTCGAATACAGTCTTTAATACCCTGTACCGCGACACACCGAAGAACCGCAGAATCACTGCGGTCGTTAATAGAGAAAGAACTCGTTCGGCGGACCAATTAGCCGAGGACTAAATCTGGCTCGGACTGCGGTTATGATCCTTGATACTTAGCCGTAGACGTGAAACGCATAATTCACTCATATTATCCATGGAATATGGACGGGGGGGCTGGGGAAGATGAAGTCTGAACGAGGTCAGCGTGACAAAGCTTAACGGGGGGGCGGGGGTGGGAGGGGCGAGAAACCAAGAGACAGAGAAAGAAACTCGCGCGAAGAGAAGACAGAGCGAGACACCGTAGAAAGAAGGAAGGACAGAGCAAGAGCAAGAGCAACCAAAGAAGAAAAAAAAATGTTAAATAAATTATTGATGTGACCCTACCATGAGGATGCTGAGAGGGTTCGCCAGAGTCATCCATATTCCAAGAGTTGCTGATTTGATCTAGAGGGAACACAAAATAACAAACGAACGTCAGGCATAGAGATAATTAAAGTGAATTATGCTCTGCCCGGTGACCACGGGCAGACAAATAGCCGGGGGCCGCGCTGCAACATGATAGCTGAATGTCTCATTATAGGAGCCGGCGGGATCAACGCCGCGTGACCCGTTACCGAAAATCGAACGCGGGCCGACAGCGCGGCCGATTTTTACACGGCGGCGAACACCGTGTTCCCGCCGTTCTCTCTATTTTCCTCCGAACGTACCGTACTGATCCCCGGGACCGCCTGGACTAGGAGTGATACGATAATGATCCTGTAAAGCTGGATTCAGGCCTGGATCGATGTCGTTGTACCCGGTCTCCACGTACGGCGCCGCTTTACGCAGGTATTCTACAAAGGAAAAGAGAAAAACAAGAAACGATCAGGCGCTGACAGGAATCCCGTACACTTTTGCTACAAGCAAATTTCGGAAACTTCAGTCGCATAGCCGAAAACCCTGGTGCAAAAGTAACCGACGACGTGTCCGCTTCTCGGCGAGGCGCAAGCTCGCTTTTGTTTCGCTAGAAGCTACGGTTAATGTCTCCCTAACTGACGCTCTCAGATTGTGCAGAAAAATGGACAATTTGGGAAGCAGAAATACGGTTATTCGAACCTTGCGACTCGTTTTTATAGTTGTGACTATCGATAATCATAAAAAACGAGTAACAAGGCTGTCCATTTTTGTGGACAATCGGAGCGTCAGTAAGGGAGACATTACTGTACGATAATGTCTCCCATACTGACGCTCAGGTTGTGTACAGAAATGGACAATTTGGGAAGCAGATGTGTATAAGAGACAGGTAACAAGGCTGTCCATTTTTGTGGACAATCGGAGCGTCAGTAAGGGAGACATTACTGTACGATAATGTCTCCCATACTGACGCTCAGGTTGTGTACAGAAATGGACAATTTGGGAAGCAGAAATACGGTTATTCGAACCTTGCGACTCGTTTTTATAGTTGTAACTATCGATAATCATAAAAACCGAGTAACAAGGCTGTCCATTTTTGTGGACAATCGGAGTGTCAGTAAGGGAGACATTACTGTACGATAATGTCTCCCTTACTGACGCTCAGGTCGTGTACAGAAATTGACAATTTGGAAAGAAGAGATACGATTATTAGGAGATACGAGCCTTGCAGCTCGTTTCTATAATTGTTGATAATCAGTAGCTATAAAAACTTAACCGCAAGAATCGAATAATCGTATCTCCTCTCCCTAAATCGTCCATTTTTGTGGACCATCCGGGCGTCAATCAGAAAGACATTGCTATTGCTGTACCCGGTTTTGCAGCAGGGTCGTTTAACGGGGACACTAAACTCGGTCTCCGCGTTACATCGATGAAGATTCGAGGTAGTTACCATGTGGGGGCGAGGCACGACTGTGCTCCGAAGGACTATGAGGGCTGTGAGGGGAATGCGAGCGCGGCATGTAGATGCCGTGCGGACCCGGATACCCCGGCTGAGGTGGATAAGCGATGAACGGCTCATAATGCTCGAACCCGACCATGTACGAGTCCGTCGGGTACCGCGGGTCCGCGTGCTGATAGTCCTGCGACATCAATGGCACCGACATGTAGCTGACCGCTCCTGGATCCGGCTCCATGTGTGAAACTTCGCGCACTACTTTCGACACGCTTGTCACCTGGAACGGAGAATCAGAGAGGCGGGTTACAGCGGCGGTCGTTCGTCTGCCCGGTGGGCGTGGCCCCGCATTGGGCGTGGCCGCGGAATTGCTTTTTCTAACGTGGTAAAATATTTAGCGTGCGCAGCGTGCAAACGCCTGTGGAACTTTGTTAGAATGTAAACCGGGTTCTAGGGAAAACGAGGGAGTTGTTTTACTATTCGGTGGGCGGAGCCGGGAGGCGTGGTTCCGGTGGAAGGAGGGAATCGCGGGCGCCGCGAGAAGTTCGCAGGGGAAATGCTGGAAAATCGGAAGCTGGTCTCTCTGAGACCGGGATGCGTCTTTAAGCGGAAAGTGTTGTTTTATTTTTTATTCGTTGGTTGGAGCGGGGAGGCGTCGCTTCGACGGAAACGGGGCCCGCAGCGAGGTCTGGCGAGCATCGAAGGGAAGATCTCGCGGAACAGGTGATACATAATTAATTGGTCGAATCGAACGGTCCGATACCTGGAAACGCGACTTACTTGTTGAGTAGTCTGCTGCTTGTGGGACCGGATGAGTAATGGATCCTCTTGTACAGACAAATGAGACGAATGCAACGAGTGGGTGTCCGCCTGGCCGTTACTTCCGTGGTAATCTGCATCACTCTGCCCGCTGGAAAACGTCCGCAATAATGATCAATTAGTGCCGCGTTCCGCGCCATCGGGCAATCAGCGATTTGTCGGCCGCCGGTCGATAACTTACGTGTATTGCGGCATGTCGGGTCCTTTTTCCTGGAGAACGCGTCTGAAAATACAGAAGCAATCGGGGTCACGCGATCGTACATGAGAGAGAACGAGCCGCGAAGGTTACAAACAGAGCGACAACATCGATCGATTTAACGTTAAACAGGCGAATCGGCAGAGCAAAAGAATGTTCGCGCGCGCGGAAAGAAAATCAATAAATACTGATGAATGTGATCCGGGGGGAGCCCTGGAAAATGTAGGCGACGCGTGGAACCAAACAAAAAGAAAGCACACACACGCGCGCGAAAAATGTAAAAACCGTGCACACCGAACGACGACGACCATGTTGCGACACGCAAAAAATAAAAACAGCACACGCATAACGAAAGAACGAAGGAGCGCGCATGGCCTACTAAAGCGTCCAGGAATACCTCTAATTGCGCTAAACTACTCGTGTCCCTTGTCCACGCGCAGGCACACACTCGTACAGGCAGACACGCGCGCCGCAAACACCATTCGGACGCATGCGAAAAACCAACACACGCTGCCGGTGCGGCCGAAGTTATTCATTCTGAGTCACGTGTACGTTAACTAACGAGAATTGGGCGGTAATGATCGGTGGATGATTTTTAGCGGTACGTTTTAGCCATGATCTACCAAGGTCCTCGGTGCGCTCGACGCGAACCGACTCTCTTCGCCGCGAGGAAAATCACTCAAAATCTTGTCATCGTGTCTATCGAAATGATCGATGATCGATGTCGCTAATTTTTCGGGCAAATTTAAAGTTTGGCGGCGGTGCGAAGGAAGTGGGAGGAGCCAGTGAGTCGGCAGCACCTATGGGAACTGGTGGGAGGATCCAACAGTGAAATAGGACGAATGGAAGAACGGTGGGCGGGCGTGTCGCGTGAACAGGAGCCAATGGAGAAGCTGTGGGCGGAGCTAAGAACGTTTCGGAGCCCGTGAAAAATCGCGGGAGGAGTGAAAATTTGTGGGAGTGTCCAAGGAGCAACGACAGAGATTGATTTAGGCACTGTGATGAGTCCGAAAACCGCGAATTACACGACGAAACCGAATTTTCTAGTTCGAGAGCCGGTGTGCCGAGCGCGATCGAGGATCCATCAGCAAAAAGATCGGCGATACAGCTGGATGATTTCTCGCCGGCGATGCTCGCAAATGAAACGAGGTGGAGGGGTGGCTGCTTAAGTGATGACCAGTGAACGACTATCATTTGTACACTCGCATTCAGAATGACTAACCTCGTGATTAGGTCATGTTAGTCACCTCTGCGTGATCTCGGTGCGCGTAATGCTGTGCTCCTGTCGCTTCTCGATCCGACGATTCACCAGCCTGACATTAACAATTTCGCCAGCGTTATTGGGGACAGGGGGCGGAGAGGGGGTGAGAGTTGTGGGACGGTCAGGGGGGCGTGGTCTCTAGGTGTCTACCGTGCACCCGGTGCGACAACGGAAGGTTGTAACTGTCTTTTTCAACGATTTAATCGGTCGATCGACGGAGAAACACATCCGATCACGACAATGCCAATGAAGCTGCGTTCGTTTGTTAGTCACTCGTACGCCGTTTAATTAGTTGAAACAGGAAAATGTTAGTAGCGGCGAGAAGATCGAAAGCTAGTCAAGATTCGCGTTGCTTTTTTCTTTCCTTTTTCTTTATTTTTTTTCTTCTGTTTTTGCTTTGTTTTAGAAAGGGAGAAGAGCGTAGAGTTAATCGGTTACGAGTCTCTCGATAGTTCGAGGAGAGAAAGACACTTACAGACAGGAGTCAACCAGCTGATTATTTGACATACCAGCTGATTTTTGGTCTCTTGCCGCTCAGCAGTCGAAGGCGTCTCCTGAAACAAACCAGACGAATCGGTAAACGAATGTTTGCCAAACGGTGATCAAATTCGCGAGAAAAATACGGTTCTATTCGACCGTCTCGAAGCGAAAAAAAAAGTAAATTCCGCCGGAGAACGAAAAGAAATCGTTCCTTAATCGACCGATCCGCGAACGCAAATTCCATCTCGCACCGGTAAAAAAGGCGGCCCCGCGAAGTTTCGATTAACGCCCCGTGGTCCTCGATCCCCCTACTTTTTTGCAGTCGGCTCGCGGGATACGTTAATTAATTTCATCAGTTTCGCGTAGTTAGCGCGAGGCTGTATCGCGTCCTCGGCACCTCGCGTAATCACAGCATTAAAATATAAAACGAGCAGATGAGTTTAATTAATTTGCTGCCTCGTCGCTCTTTTATCGCGCGGTTCGATTGCCTCGCGCGCGCACACGCACGCACGGCAGAGGCTCCTGCCACACACGCTCGAAACTAGGAACATAAAAGGATGACACAGATCCGACCGAGAGAAGCTTCGCTAACGAATTCGCCCGGCGCGCGGCGCAAGCACCACGGAATTTCGCAGTCTCCTAAAGGGATTCGGCTGCTCCCTGTCCACGGACCCAGCGCTGTCCGTTTCCACTTATTGCAAGGACTCGCATAATTGTTCGCCGCTTGCTGTATGGAATTACCGTCCGGAACCCGGTCAACTTTCGTTCCCACCGCGCTACGCGAAAACTAATCCAAGGCTGGACATCGAAACAGAAACTCGGAATTGATTGTCCCGGTGTAAAATGAATATTAAAGCTCGCCTGCGGTCGTCGCCGGCCGTTAATCACCCTCGCGTTAAGTGCCCGAACTGGGTCCGCGTGATCTTTCCTTTTTTTCCTTTTTTTTTTGGAAACTGTTCTCCTTGGCAATCTATCTCCCGGCCATTTGCATTTTGTCTTCGTCGGGGCGGCGTGACATTTCGCTCGGAGGCAATTGAACCGGTTGAAGATCCTTTCCCTGTATCCGGAAGGCGGGGGAGGGAAACCATTTCTCAATTCCGTTACGAACATTGTGTTAGGAAACCGTCCGGGCTTCTATTTCGATAATACCGTTCCCCCCGGTCGCTAACACCGTGCTCTGTCCGAAATTTCGAACGTCGGTCCCTGAAATCGATTGCGCGTGTGTAGCCAGAAAATCCATATCAACTGTTCTCCGCGTGCACACTCTCTATTGTTCCACAAACCGGGAAAATTTGGAGGCGAGCTGCGGTCGACGGCTTCCGAACATCGTCTGTGCATGATTCTCCCCCCAGGTTTTCGTGCGAGCCGGATAGACAGACGGGAGGGAACGATTCTCGATGAGAAAGGGTTAAAGAGGCGGCAAAACGGCGCGTATCCGTCCCCGCGCGTAATAATCCCGGTAACGTCGATGAGAACACGGCTCTCTGTACCAGTGACATCGATTTCTTCTCCTCCTCCCCGGGCCCGTTTGAATCCAGGTCGAAAGCGCAATAAGAGTGCCATAACTTAAACAAATAACCTCGGTGTTCCCCGTCCCTTTTTCCCATCTTGCCCGTCTGTCTCTCCGAGTGGAAATTTTGCGCTCCCGGTGTTTGCCATTGTCGCGATCTTTTTTTCTCCACGGCCGTTGAATTCGACCGCTGGCCTCGTCGAGCTCACTTAATAATTTCAATGAAGAATCGGAAAGAGAGAGAGCCGCCCTCTCTCTCTCCCTCTCTCTCTCTCTTTCTTTCTCTCGCGCTCTGTCCCTCTACTTCTCTCGCTCGTTGCACCCGGAGTTCTATAGGCGCGACGAACTCTGCTCGCTGCACTTTGCACGCTGAGAGTCACCTGAAATCGCGGGAACCATCTTTATTTTTTTCTTCTTTTTCAAGCGCGAAGGGAACGGGTGGTTCGTTCGAGGGGGTCCTCGAGCAGAAAATGTCCCCGATGCTGGAATTCAATTTTCAGTTAAACGCTGTAACCCTTCGTCGGCGGACATTTTTTCCCAGCATTAATCCCCGGCCCCGAGCGCGTTGAATTATTGTCGGAATATCGAACCGACACGGTCGGCACTCGCTCGTTTGCACCGCCTGTGCATCTGTCTACGATCGTTCGCGAGAGCCAGAAATCGGCGATCTCGACGCGGTACGGTAACTCGAGGATATTTCGACAACCTGGAAACGTTTAATCGCGAAATTGTGTATTTTTAGAAAACGTTGCCGCTGATTCAAATATAACAAAACTCAGTGTCATAGAATAAGTATTATTGCTCTTAATATTCCATTTCTATTCTATTCCGATGAGGATAAATATACCTGAAACGAACCCTCAGAAATTGATTAATCAACCGACACCTGTTCCATAGCGAAAACGTCCGCGTCTGAGCTCCAGTTGCTATCGTATTTATTTTTTGACAATTATTCTTCCACCCTTTCAATTATATATTTTAAATATCTTCCATCTAATAATTGTGTTCGCTGTTCGCGTTAACCTATCGTCGAACTATTTTCATAATTATTATCACTAAGTCGTGTAAAAGAAGTGATTATAAATCGACAGTCTAAGTAACTACAATTAAATGCATAACGAAAGAGGAGAACGGAGAAAGAAAGTGGTCATTGAAAATTAAGCACGCGTAGATTGTCGAAATGTCGCGCTGTCCGTCGTACGTCGATCATTCTTATCAACGACGGAGCATCCCTCGGACGGATGAAAAACCGTCTCCGACGGAAATCAGCCTCGCGGTTCTGGAGGCTGCGAGATGCACGCGCCGAAGAGACGGTTCTCGCCGGCGGGTTATTCGCCAGGATAAAAAAAAAAGGAGAGGGCGGGGAGAGGGGAGGAGGGGGGTATCCGAATTCGTTCCGACGTGTAAAAAATCTAATATGCCGGAGACTATTACGGGACAAAGCTCCGGGCGACGTTGGCCCAGATTTTCGGCTGCGCGGACCCTCTGAAAAGCTCAAAAGCGTTCTCACGCCTGCGACGCTGTTCTTCCGAAATGAAAAATTGCTCGACGAACGCCGCCAGCCCCTTTTACAATCAATTCCGGCCCGGGAAATATTAGCCTGCATCGGGTCGGAGACCCTGTACCGTCGCTTAATTAACGGGGACGCCGACTCGAAACGCTGATTTCCACCAATATGGCCGTCGATCCCGCCGAACCCGTCCTCCCTCTCTTTGACTATCTCACGCAAATTAAATTCTCCGCGAATCAATATTTCGTCGTCTCCGCCGTCCGCCGCGACTTGTCCCGCGCGTTTCTTTGCACCTCGTCCGTAAGACTCTATTCCCGGTTCGCCTTGCTACGCGAGATTTCGCGTAGCCTTGCGCAGCTTCCTCGCTTTTCCGGTCGAATTACCAAGATATTCGATGATCCCGACCAGTCTTTAATTCAATTTAATTTAATTTATTTAGCATAAAATGCCCTTCAACTTTTCTATAGAATTTCAACATAATAATAACAGCACTGGAAATAGTAATAATAACGGAAAAATCGCAAGAATGAAAATGAAAACAATACAACCACAATATACAAAGCAAACACAGACTGAACAGCTTCCGATAGCCGAAGAGCTTCCGATAAGATCATTGACTTTTAAATTCGTTAAAATCATCAAGAAGTCAATGCAGTCCGGCGCGAGCGTCAGCGACGATCTTATTCGCCCGGTTAAATTCCCACGATTTTCCGTCGACGAGCGAACCGTTTCGAGCGGATAAACGTTCCGCGGGCGGGGGCGATTTTTTTCAGGGAACCAAAATTGATTGCAGAGTCGCCGGAGCCTTCTGGGCCGCAGCCAAATTGCTCGGAAGATTAATTTTCGAGCTTCAGGTGAAAAACAGCGACGCCCGCGGCGTCGACGGTCGTCTTCGCTTTCAATTTCGCCGGGGGGATCCCCGGTTGCTTAATTTATCGATTCGATTCTCGAAGTTCGGCGATATCCGGCGTTTGGCTTCCCGGTTTGTTCCCCGTGGTCCACGAGGACAGGCTCGCCGAATTCGCCGCCGGATAGGCGGCGATCCATAGGCTACTCTCTTCTCGGAAACGTTCTCTAGGGCCGCGCAGTTTCCGCGAGTTCGTCCCACAGTTTGCGACTTCATCCGCTTGGGGAACTTCGCCGCCTATTCTCCGCGCGTTTTCCGAAAATTTCGCGAATTTCGGCCGCGCGCCGCGCCTCGCCGTTCCGCGGAATATCAACGAGCTCGTGCTACGGAAATCCCGGGGAACCCGAGGCTCCCGTGTTCAACGGGAATTCGAATCGCGTTTTTGTCGGCGGCCTCTCGCCGGGAGAGAATCAGGGAACGCTGAAAAACGATGGGAACAATTCCGAACCGTTCTCCGGGCTCCGGAGTGCCGCGAAAGTATGGTCGTTTGCCGGTAGAACGATGGAAAACTTACGAAAAACGCGTAAATTGCCGGCACCGGAAAATCTGCCACTTCGGGCTTCGAATGGCCGTAACTTTGAAACACAGCGATTCATTGCGAACTTCTGGCCGCCATCTTGTCGGCGAGACTCGACACTTTGAACCCGTGTAAAGGAATCCATAAAAAGTATTCGTTTGACAAGCGTAGAAATCGATTCAAACTGATAGAACAAATGCGCGATCTGCTCGACGAAGTTTATCTCCGATTTCGTTATAATTAGAGATAGTCTCGTTATAATTAGTATGTTTAACCATGATTCGACCAAGGGACATTGCAAATATTTGATTTATATATTTCGAGATACGTCGTAAAATATTTTGTCAAAGCGAAGAATCGACATGCGAATTGCTACTTTTTCAAGCACGATAATACAACTGCTCGCTGCGAAGAAAAAAAAAAGTGCCCATTGTGAAACCACTTGAATATAAGTCACATTCGCCGGTTACCAGGTTAATTGCCAATTTCGTTCTCCTCTCGAAATGTTAATTCCCCAACGAAGCGATGTCGCTACGCATTGTTCTCCTCTCCTTGAAATGTTAATTCCCCTATAAAACGATGCTAGGCCGCGCATCATTTTCCCGTGTTTGAAATGTTAATTCCCCTACG